TTCTTGCCCGCGCCTGCTTTTGCACTTTCGCTAAAAGATGATCTCGACGTTTTAGTTACCAGCCATCGTAGTGGTGGTGTGTAAGAATCACTCAGGTGAGACCTCGGAGTAGGTTAGAAAGGTTCAATCAGTTGAATCAGTTCAATCACCATGCAAAGCGGACAACCCTTCGCGTTCTTGTGTCGCTTCGCCGTTCAGGAACAAGCTGGCAGCCACTGGCGGAAGCCTCAACAGTTCGGGGTCGTGGGCGTAGCTTTCTGACAGACAAAGTGATGACACACAAATTTGGTGGATCAAGCTTGACAGCTTCATGAAGCAAAGGCAGCCAGCGGCAAAAGCTGTTGTAGCTGAAAGGATCTGGCTTAGCCTCGAGGATTGTACTTTCACCCATGCAGCCATCAGTTTTCGGAGGGCCACAAGGAGCTTGAGCGATTTTCCTGATAGGCTGCACGGCAACAGCAGTTCAAGTGCAGTCGACCATTTCCATGATGAATTCTTCACGTTTGACAATGAGTGTTGAGCTTTGCAGCAGTGTCCTGTCGGGCCAAGCCCTAAGTGCAAGAGTGAAGGACGAGCAACACTGGCAGACTCCACTTGCACAAAAAGCAAAGCCCTGGAACCTGCTGAGGGGCCTGTGCTGTAATGGCGGTCTTTTTGAAAGGACTCAGACATGATTCCAACTGTATCTACGATGCCAGGCGATTCGTAACTTATTTATCTTGCCGTTGAAGTGTCGAGGAGACCAGCCCGACACGGCTCTCAGCTAGGGGAAGAGAAGATTAGCCAGGGCTTTTGCGGAGTGTACTCACCGACGTGCGACAGCTGAATCTTAGCCATGAAAGCGAGATGTTTGCCTGCACGGGCAGAGTCAGTTTCGTGTGATGCAGCCTTGAACTGTTCGCAACATCTTGCACAGGCGAAAGGTTGCAAGATTTATGATTGTGATGCCCCTCTTGTGCCCATTCTCCTTGAATAAGCTTGGCTAGATCGAAGTGAGTAGCCAGTCTTGTGCGCGTTTTAACTGCTGGGCGACGGCCTCAGAATCTGCAGATGATAGGACGGAGCAGGCAAAGGTTCACAGGCAATTCCTGAATTGGAAAGGTGGCTGGCGGAATGACCTGGTTGTGGGCGCTGCTTGCATGCCTTGTGGTCGCTCGTGCATCTGGCACTGATTCGTTGCAGGACCTTTGGCCACGCACGAGTTTTGCTTAGTGGCCCAACTTCCATTTGCGAAGAGTCTTAGCTGTTTTGAGGACGCGGCCCGTTTGGATACTTCTGAGCCCGGCATCGACAAATCTCTCCGTGCGCCGTCTCCGGGACCTGTTGTGGACAAGAA